ATTATCTATTAATAATTAATTAAATATTATTAAATTATTAGAAGCGTATTAATCTTCGAACTTTATATATTATCTCTAGAATTCGATATTATAATTACTATAAAGTTTACTCTAAATTAAATCTTCTCTAATACTCTCTAGAGAAAGATATCTCTTTTTATATATATAAACTCGAAATCTCTATATAAATATCTTATTAAGCTAGAAATAATATAAGAGAAAAGATTAATAATAGATATTCTATATTTAAGATAGTTATATAAATGATAAAAAATTATCGAGATTCTATAGATTAGAGAAGATAAGAATTCAACTAATTTAATAATAAAGAATAAGAGATATAACGCACTATAACGTCTAGTAAATACGAATTATCTAGAATTAGAACTAGAAGGCTGAGTAGAAAGATAAGATATTAATACTAATTAATAGAAAGTCGTCTTAGCGTAGTACTATTAGAAATACGCCTAGTATGATTAAATCTACGCCCACTATAGTAGAGAGAGTAATTGCGATTATAGGGATTATGGAGAAGGAATATAGTATATAAATAGTCTTATTTTCTATTTTTTACTAATGTTGAAACGACTTAACACTCGTTATTACTAGTACTTATTTAATCTAGTTATAGATATATAAAGATATTCTCTATATATAGATATCCTTCTTTCTTAGATATTATTAAGAATATTATATCTAGTAATAAGTCTTATTATAGTAGTAACTATATACTCAGATATTTATTAATAACTACTATAGCTAATACTACTATAACTATTACTATTATAACTATTACTATTATAACTATTACTATTATAGCTATTATATAATAATAGACTATTTAAATAATAAATAGTAATAGTTATAATAGTAATAGCTATTAAAATATTAGATATATAATATATAGAACGAACGAATTAATTCTTTAAAACCTCTTCGAGACTAGATTTTAAATATAGTATAAAATTAAATAACTAAAGAATACGGTGGCTAAGATACGCGAGAGTTATATTTCGATAGTAGCTATAATAGTAGTAGTTATAATAGTAATAGCTATAATAGTAATAGTTATTATATCGAATTTATCGAATAAGAGTAGTCGTTAATTAGAATAATAACTAGAATAGCTACTTATACTTCTAAATATAGAAATTCTAATCGAGATATTTCATATATATATTATTTCATAATATAATATTATAAATATATTATATCGTAATATATATCGCTAAGATCTCGAATCTATATTAGAAAAATAATATAATATTTAATTCTATTTATATTATATTCGAGTACGGTGTAATATCACTTAATATGAAATATTCTATAAGATATATTATACCTTTTTAGCTAGTAAATTAAAACTATTAAAAGAACTCTTCTAATATCGAGAAAGAAGACTTAAATTACTAGTTAATAGTTTAAGATAATATTTAATATATTATTATACTATAACGAGTAAAGATTTATAAATTAAATTTATAATTTTTTTTTAATTAGAGCTATCGAGTAAATAGATAAGCGATCTTTAATAAGCGAACTTTAATAAGCGATATTTAAATTCCTTACGCTTTAATAATTATAAGACTTAATTTAAAAATTCTTTTTTTATCTAAAAGCTTATATTTCGTTTTTTAAAAAAAATCTTAAAATTTTAATAGAAAATAAAAAAGTTATTCTATATATTAATAACGTATATCTATTTTTTTAATTATTACGAATATTAATTTATTTATCTACGATAATTCAATTAATTAAATTAAAGAGCGTAGTAACTTTAAATTTATATTTAATTATATATATTAATTTAAGATTTTTATACTTAGCTCTATCTTATTCTTTTATATATATTAATTAAAATATACTAAGATATATTATTAATAATTACGATCTACGTTTTATATCTTCTTTCTAAAAGAAAATCTTTAATAAACTATATATTAAGTTCTTAATATTTATAATTTATTATCTATAAACAAATAATTAATTCGAATAAATTAATTAAACGATAAAAATAGTATTATATTTTTCTCTTACTACGAATTCTAACGATAAATAAAATAAAATCTTATTATATATTTAGATAATTTTTAATAATTCTTCGAGTAATATTATAGATCTAATATCTAATAAACTATACTACGATTTTAAAGTTAATAATATTATAAATATATTACTTATAAATCTCTTAATATCTATAAATATTTTTATAAGCTTTATTTAATAAAAGAAAAGAAATAAATAATATTATAATATTTTTATTTTTATAACAAAAATAAGATATAATATAAAGTATTTAATATTAAATCTTAAGAAAGAAGATAATATCTTTCTTAAATTATACTATAAATACTCGATTTTAAATCTTTTAAATAGAAAACTCTTATAATAACGTATTAATCTCTTTAAGATTCTAATAAAAATTAATTACTTAATATATTAATTAAAACTATTATTAATTATATAAACTTATTTAATAATTTTAATTATCTAATTAGAATTAGTTATTACTATTATAATTAAATTCTTAAATTTTAATAAAAGAAGAGTTAATATAAAATCGTCGTCTATTTATAATAAAGAAAATAACTTAAAAGTTAAAATAATTATAAATAAATAAATTATATATAAAAAATCTAAGTACTTATTATATTAAAAGAATAAGAGTTATAAATATAATATATAATATTAAATTAAGAATTTATTTAATATAATAAAGCTAGTAAATAACTATAATTATAAATTAATATTTATCTTATCTATTAGATAAAAGATAGATAAGAGTATTAAAATTATTTAAGTATTATAATCTATATAAGTATTATAATCTATAGAAATATTATAATATATAGAAATATTATAATATATATAAATATTATAATATATATAAATAAACGAATCTACTTTTAAAAGAGAAAAAGAAAGATTATATAAGACTTTACTATACTATATAACGAAGCGAGATAAGACGAGATTTTAAATACTTAATACTATCTCGCTTTGAGATAAGATCTTAATAAGGTGAGATTAAATTAAGATAATATTTTTCTATTAAGATTATAGAAATATCTTATTATTCTCGCTAAGCGTTTAATTAGATTAACTTAAAAATATTATCTTTATAATATCTTTATAATATTACTTAATCTTATATATCTTATAATCTTTCTAAATATCTATATCTTATACTCTAATTTAATTTATAATATTATATTTTATATTTTATTTTATTATATTTTTAATATATTTTATTAAAATTTAAAGAAATTATTTAGAAATACTTAGAGTCTATCGAAATAGCGAGATATATTTTAAAATCTTACTGTTAAGTCGAAACCTTAACCCGAAACCTTACTTCGATCTCGACCCTCCTTAAAATTCTATCGAGGTTCCTCGCCTTATTACGTAGCGTAGACTTTATTAATTAAATATTTAATATATATAAAAGAATAAGATAGAGCTAAGCTATAAAATCTTAAATTTATATATATAATTAATTATAAATTTAAGTCTATTACGCTCTTTAATTAGATCGACTAAATTAGCTTAATAACTCTTTTAAGACTTCTTATTAAAAAAATAGATATATATTATTAATATATAAAATAACTTTTTTATTTTCTATTAAATTTTTAATACTTTTTTTTAAACTATAGAACGAAATCTAGGCTTTTAGATAAAAAAAGAATTTCTAAATTTAATCTTATAATTATTAAAGCGTAAGAAATTTAAATATCGCTTATTAAAGTTCGCTCGATAGTCGAATAGCTCTATTTAAAAAATAGATATATATTATTTAATTCTAAAATAACATTTTTATTTTCTATTAAAATTTTAATAATTTTTTTTTAAATTATAGAATAAAATATAGGCTTTTAGAGAGAGAAAAAATTCTTAAATTTAGTCTTATAATTATTAAAGCGTAAGAAATTCAAATATCGCTTATTAAAGATCGCTTATCTATTTACTCGATAGCTCTAATTTAAGTAAAAATTATAAATTTAATTTATAAATCTTTACTCGTTTATGATAATATTTTAATAAGAAGATAAGTAAATAACTTATAATTAAAACTCTTATATATATTAATAGAATTTAAAATAGAAATTTTTAAAGTAATAAAAATAAAAATAATAAATAAAAATAAAGTTTAATAAATTTAATAAATTTAATAAATTTATTTAATATTATAAGATAGTAAGATCTCTTTTAATAAAACTACGTAGTAGCTATATAATTATAAGATCTAGATATATAGTTAATAGAATAAATAGATTAATTACTAGATAAACTAATAATTAAAAAAAAAGAAAGAAAAAAAAGAGATTTATAAGTATTTAAGACTTTATTAAATATATTAAATACTTATTTTAATTATATAGCTTATAGTTTAATAAGCGATATAAGCGAGTCTATTAAATTACTTTAAGTACTTTTACTCTTATAACTATATTCTTTCTTAGAAGATTTAGTCTCTAAATCTTATTATTATTATATCTTATAATTAAATACTTATAAACTTATTAGTTTTTTATATATTATTTATTATTAATTTAAATATAATCTAAATTAATATATACTATAATAATATATTTAAACTTTTTATCTTAAGGTTTTTTTAAATATATTAATATATTTATATATTAAATCGCGATAGTATCGCTATATACATTATTATCCTTACTGGCCGGAAAGGTATGGTATGGTATGGGATATTGACCTGCCATACCATACTCTGGTATGGTATGGGATATTGATATTTGCATGATCCCATACCTGGTATGGTATGGGATCTTGGCGGGATATCCCACGGTATGGTATATCTGTGGTATCATACCATGGTATGGTATATGTATGGGATATCCCGACTGGGATTTCTATATTCTCGTTATTATTCTGATCAACGGCTCGATAAATCCGACATAATAGCTACTACTATCATGGCTGCCACTACCATAACTATACCATGGCTGCCCCTACCATGGCTACCCCTACCATGGCTACCTACCATGGCTACCACTACCATGGCTACCACTACCATGGCTACCACTACCATGGCTGCCACTACCATGGCTACCACTACCATGACTGCCACTACCATGACTGCCACTACCATGACTGCCACTACCATGACTACCACTACCATGACTACCACTATCATAGCTACCATATGATAGTAGGCTATTTGAATAATAAATAGTGATAGCCATGGTAGTGGTAGCTGTTAAAATATCAGGTATGTGATGTGTAGAACGGACGGATTGATTCTTCAAAACCTCTCCGGGGCCAGGTTCTAAATACAGTACAAAATCAGGTGGCTGAAGAACACGGTGGCTGGGATGCGCGGGGGCCACATTTCGACAGTAGCTATGGTAGTGATAGCCATGATAGTGAGTGATAGTCATGGTAGTGGCAGCCATGATAGTAGCAGCCATGGTAGTGGTAGCCATGGTAGTGGTAGCCATGGTAGTATATCGAATGGGGGTAGATACGATTAGCCGTTGACCAGAATGATGATTAGAATAGCTACTTTATACTTTTAAATATAGAAATCCCAACGGGATATCCCATACATATACCATTCCATGGTATGATACCACAGATATATCATACCGTGGGATATCCCGCTAAGATCCCGAACCCATATCAGAAAAATGGAATGGTATCCGACCCTATTCATACCATACCCGGGTACGGTATGGTATCACTTGATATGGAATATTCCATGGGATATATCATACCTTTCCGGCCAGTAATTATCCTAATTATTAGAATATAGATATATTATTATTCTATTACGATATACTATTATCGCTATTATTATATATTATTATTATTATTATTACTTTAGTAATTATAATAATTCTATTATTATAATTATAAAAGTCGCGTTAATAAATATAAAAGCCTTATTTTTAATCTAATTTTTATTCTTTTTAATAATAATATTAATATTAATATTATTATAAATAAGTATCTAATTCTTCTTTATATCTATTATCTTATCTTTATTTATTCTTATTATAATATCGCGATAGCGAGCTATATATTATCGTAATAATATAATATATATATCGATTAAAATAATAATTAAATAGAATTAAAGTTATTTAAATTAACTTTATATATAATAAATATCTTAAAAAATACTTTATAATACTTTTTAGATAGTATAAAAAGTATATTAATATATTAATAATAATATTAAATCTTTACTCTTATAATTCTATAAGTTATTAAATATTTATAATTATTATTATTTCTATATCTCTCGCTATAGTTAATAAATATTTATATTTATTTTAAAGATATACTTAATTAAGAAGACTTAATAGCTTTTTTTATTATTATTTCTATTCTTATCTATAAGTAAAAAAGATATTAAATAATTAAGAGATTATACTAATATATATTAATTCTCTTTTATTATTATTATTATTATATATATACTCTTATATATAACTTTTATACGATTTATATTATATTTTCTACTAGTTTATATTAATATAAATATAAGCGATACTTTTATAAGAGTTATATATATATTATAAACTTAACGCTTTATTATTAGATTACTATCTTCGCTATAACTCGCTTTAATAAAGATATTTATATTATTCTTTAAATATAGAATAATATAAATTCTAATTAATATATATTAGAATATATAGCTAATATATATAATAACTCGCTATATCGAGAAACTTTAACATAACGCTATTATCTTCGCCGCTTCTTCTATTACTTCTTTCGTTACTTCTTATATTAAGTCTTTTTATTATCTAATAGACTTTTTAAATAAGAAGTTACTTTCTAATATAAAAGAATAAATAGATTAATATTAGATAATAATAATTATATATATAGCTTTAATAGCTACTTTTCTTATTATATATAATATCTTAACGCTTTAAATATAGTCTATAGACTTTTTAATTATATTCGTTAAGCCTTTTAATTATAATTTTATTTATCTACTTAAACTCTCTACTACTATTACTTTCTTAATTTTCTTTATTTCTTAATTTTTCTTAATAATTACGTCTTTAGCTTTATCTTAAATATTAATTTATATAATTTCTTTACTTATTTAAAGTCCTTAATTATATCTTTAATATTTTTAAGATACTTTATTAATTTTTATAAAGCTTTATAAGATAAAAAGTCTTTTTAGTTAATAAGATATTTAATCTCGCCTTTATAAACTCTTTTATTTAATATCTTATTAATCTCTTATTCTTCTTCTTTATTAATTAAAATTACTTATAACTCTAAATTATTATTACGCGAGTATTATAATTCTAATAATAATATATAAAATATAGAATAAATTCTTCTATATCTAATAAAGAGGTTTAGTTTATAAATCTATATATTTATTTTCTCTAGTATTTTAAAAGATCTAAATTATTTATAATTAAGTTTTTTTTTTAATTATAAAATACGTATATTTAAGCTTCGTAATAGTAATTTTTTTTTAAAAGTTATAATCTTATAATTACTATTATAATACTTTACTTACTACTTTAACGCTTACTTCTATAATTCTTTTAGATATAATCTTATTTCTTATAATTATTCTACTCGCTCTATAATAAGCGATATTTTTTCTCTTAAGATTCTCCTTTTAAAAGTATTTTTTAAATCTATTATATATTCTATTAATAGCTTTTATAGAGTCTTATTAATATTTATATATATATTATTATTATATATAAATATAATTATTAATAAGATCTTAAGTTAATTATTCTACTTATAATTATAATATATTTATAAATAATATTTAAGAATTTAATTTTATCTTTTAATTTAATTATTAGTCTAAGAATAGAATATAATATTAAATTTATATTTTATATTTAAATATTAATATAGTATTATCTAAAACTTACTTATAAATAGAGAGTCTCGATTTAAAATTAAGTTATATATTATATTATATAATAATATAAACTTTTATTATAAGATATTAGTAAGATTATTAGTCTTTAGATTCTTTATAATAATAACGTATATTATATATTTAATTAGCTTATCTACTAAGATTAAGATAATATTATAAATTTTATTAATATATAAATCTCTTATAAATAATAGATTTATAATAAAATCTAATATTATAATATAAAATAAATCTACGCTATCTAAGAAAATTAATATTAACTCGCTATATAACTTATAATAATAAATTTATACTCTTTAATAATTAAGATAAATACGAATATACTCTATTATATCACTTATTATATTTATTTAATAATATTTAAATCTAATACTCTTTTTAATACGCTTATAAGTAAAATATCTAGTATTAAAATTATTATAATTTATATAAAGAATCTCTTTTTTTATAATAGAATCGTTAAAAATATAGATTATAAGGCTATAACGTAGTAGTTTATTTTTATTAACTCTCTATTTCGAAAGTTTAATCTATTTAATAGTATATCTCTAACGCTATTTCTTATTTATAATAAAAGTATTTTTATATTATAATTTAAGTAATTATATTATTATTAATTTTTATAATTTTAAATAAAATCTTTTTAACTCTAAAATTTAATAAATTAGAAATTAAGATAATATTATAATATTTAGAATATATATTTATTTATTAAATACTCTCTTATTTAAGTTAATAACTTAGATATCTATAATAATAATATTATTTAATTACTTTATTAACGCTATAAGTTTAATTATAATAAATATATTATTATATTTTTATAGATTAAATTAATATTTTTAATTATAAAGCTTATTTTATAAGATAAAAAGAATATTATTATTATTATTCTCGCTACTATCTAATTTAATAATATTAAATCTTTTTAATAATATATTTATAAGATTAAATTTTCTTTTATAATATTTAATTATAAAATTAAATATAACTAATTTCTTAATCTAGCGAATTTACTTTATATTAAATTTTTTTATTATTATAAAATAATATAAATTATTATAATCTAAGATTATATAAATAAAATATTTATTATTTTATAAGTAATATCTTTAATTTTTAAAGCTTAATATAATTATATAGAGCTTTTTATTATATATATATTAATAAAACTTAGCGCTTTTAAATTTATAGCTAGAAAATATAATAGAATATTATTATTTATTCTTACTTAATTAATTAAGTATATTATTTATATCTATATTAGAAATATTAATCTTTATAATAAATAATATTTTTTAATTATAATATTTTAATATAAATACGATAATAAATACTCGCTTAAATATCTTAAAAGTTTTATATATTTTCTTATTAAATATAAAGAGTAATCTAGTTTTATCTTTCTTTATTTCTTAGATTAGATTTATTAAAAGCGTAGCTATCTATAAAAAGCCTTATATAAATTATTAATAGAAGTTTATAAATTTTAGAAAGATTAAGATATTCTTAATAGACTCTAATTCTAATTATTTAGTAATAACTTTAATACGCGATAGCTTTATTTAGATATCGCGTTAGTTTATTAAAAATCTTAGAAAGATAATCTTATTACGATTAAAAGTATATTTTAATAATTTTATATAGAGATAATATTCTAATAATACGCGTAGTATTTTATATATATACTCTTAATATAACTCTTTTATTTTTAAATAGATTAATATATTATCTAAATATATTATATAAAAAATATCGATATATAATTTACATACTTTATTTATATAAGCTTAAAAGATTATAAAGATATTTATAAGATTAAAATATATTATTTAATACTTAAATTAATTATAGCGAGTTTAAAAGATAATTTTTTATTTATCTTTCTTTTATATTTATATTCTATAATATATATTATAAATATTAATCTTAATAAAGTATTTTATATATATAAATCTCTTTAAGATCTCTAAAAGTAGCGATAACGAGTAATTATTCTTAATTATTATCTTATTAAATCTTTAATAATTAATATATAATTATAGCGAGTTATTTAATTTTTTAATAAATAGTACTAGCGAGCTAATTTAACTAGTTAAAAATTAAATTTACTTTCTCTTAAATATAATATCTAAATAATCTCTAATCGCTATAAGCTTATTATACGATATATTATAAATTAAATTATTTTTAAATAGTTTATTAAATAGTAGATTAATAGAATACTCGATTTAATTATATATATTAAGACTATTAAATAACTCTTTTAAAAAAACTTCTAATAGATTCTTAAGTTATTTAAATATATTAAGATTATCTAGCTATATAATATTATATTATATAACTTTATTATAATTATTTTTATTATTTTTAAATAAAATCTAATATAAGAGTATAATAAATACTTATTTTAGATTATATATAATTACTATATTAGCTAATAACGTAAACTACTCTATATTTATTATTATAATATCTATTTACTTTTTATTACTTATAAGAAAATCGCGATAAATCTAGAATTACTTATATTAATAAATATTC